GCTCTCTATTGGAATATATGTTTTGGGCTATTCTTTTTTGTTATTGGCATGGGACTATTTGTTGTGATTAAGATTTATTGGGATCAATCCTCTGCAGGGCAAGAAGACTAATTAAGATAGTCCACCATGAATTAGATGAACTGTTTCTTGGAAGGTGTTGGGAAATTTCCTGTTATCTTGGCAAATTCTCAGTTGCTTTCTGGTGTAAAGAAATGTTTATAGCAAAATATTTCAGCACAGTAATGGGACTGACATTTGGAGCAACAGAATTTTGCTTTTTTTTGTGCGGTACAGTTTACTTTTTTTTTTAAAGTTGCCCTGCTCACACATCTTATTCATATTAGTTTATTTTTCCCATCCGGGCTTGATTTTGAGACAGAATGCTTTGCTTGCCTATATAGGCTATCTCCATCAGAAAGAAGCAATATGATCCTTTCAGTTTTGCTGGTGGCTTTTGATACTAATGCATGTTTTTTTTTCTTTTTCTTTTTTGATGTTGTTGGTTGGATTTAGACTTGGAGGCACCATTTCATGCTGTTTTTCATCCTTCCTGGAGAGTGTTGCACATCCTATTGGCTCTTCATGTATTGCTTTTGAATAACTTTAGCTGGTCCAAAATACCAAAACTAGGCTAATGACTTCAACCAGTATATAGCAAATAGGGTTGTGCAGCAATTCTGATAAGTCTCCAAAGTATGTTTTGGAATGCATGGGAAAACAAATGTAACATGTATTCTATATGTAACAAAGCAGTAATATTTCATGCAGTTGCCAGAAAAAGACATGGCTGCTTTGGCTTGACATAAACAAGTACTATAGTCCTATATACTCTGAAGTACCCTTTGAAAATGAAATCTGTACCACCTCACAGCTTCAGCAGGGAACATTTGATAACTTTTAACATTTTTACACAGTCCAAATTCTGGTTGTTTTATTTGTTTTTTACTTATTTCACTTATGACTTACCTTTCTACCCTATCAAGTATTCAAGGCAACTAATAAACCTTGGAAAACAAAAAAAACTGAATTTAAGAAGTTACTTAGTACTGAAGAAGTACTGAAATTAATACAAAAGCTAATTCATTGTTGAACATTTGGTGAAATATATCAATATTTATTTATGTTTTCCTAAAATTTGAGAAAGCAGAGATCCAAAAGCAACTCTCAACTGGTATTTTACTGCTGGTGAAAATGATGAGCCTTGACAGGAGTTACATCTTCAAAAAAGTCTCACTTCCTTGTCTGTTTCATAGTGGGAAATGTAATTCTTTAAGAAGTCAACCCTTAAGCCAATTTGGGACTTTAAAGTTTATTATAAATATTTTAAATTGTGCTCAGAAAACAATTACTAATGTTTTAATTAAGTACAAATCACATAATTCCTGAATCTTGTGCCAATTAGCAGCCTGCCTACAATATTTGTACCTATTGCAACTTCTGGAAACTTTTCAAGGGTAATTCAAGGGTTGCCAAGTCTGATCAGTTTATGAAGATTACCAGCTGGTGAATCAGATGCAGTTGCATTTATTGTGTATAAAGTCCTATCAGATCTGAGACAAGACTGTTTGAAAGACGGCATTCATTTTAGAATTTGTTTGTGTTTCCTTTAGAAACATTTTTTTGGCGTTACCACCATTTGAGGCATGTTTAGCAAGTAATATGAGAAATAGCCTTCTTAGTAGCTGCTCTGAGACTAGAGATGTACTCAATCATTAAAAAGAAGAATATTTCTTTTGAGGGAAGAAGCTATCTGAAAAAAATCCCTTTATCACACAGTTTTCGCTAATTGTAGATACTACAAACGGAGAAATACCTTATCAAATTACTTCCTGTCTTTTTCATCCATAATTCATTGGAGATTATTGAAAACATTTTACCTTCCTTATAGTTCTATTTTTAGGTTTTGTATACGTCATATTAATTTATATTGAAGAAGTAATAGGGATTATTGATCTTTGACACGATAATTATTTTTTACGGTAGGATTTAGTCTTGGCCCTCTACCAATAATTTAAACTTGTTATAAAGCTATTGAGGCATGCCTGCACAGGTCCCTGGAATGCATCACCCTCTGAAGGCTGATAATGTCTAAGGATTCATTTCACTTTGAACCAAGAATTTGAAGCCAATGTATACTGGATATTGCACAAGCACAGACACAAAGGGAGAAGAAGGGAAGTGGAGTTTCTAGATATGGGTCAAGTAACAATAGAAATATGTTTGTCCAGAGAAATGCATATTTGCCTATTCCAAACAGTGTTACATTTCCTTCTGAATGAAACATATTCAATTTATTCTGAGTGAAGGTGAGTTTGCTCCTAGATCTGACCTGCTTGCTGGGCTAAACCTGCCAGATTGTAATTGAAGTGGAGATATGTGTACTTTAAAGATTGCTTTAATAGTTCCTTCTCTTTTTTATTTATCCTCCCTCCCTCCTCCTGTTACTTCTTTTGTAGCAGATTTCATGTATAAATTGATAATCAAAGCTGCACTGAATCTCAATAGATAAAAAAGCTGGCTTTTTATATATTTGAAATAAATCCTTTAGCATAGATGGAAAACCTAAAATAAAGTTCCTTTTTATTATTTATAGCTTGTGGGTTTTCTTATACAATTTATATGATTTTTCACTGAAAACCATGTTCAGTAAATTAATGTATATATCTACATTCAGTGGAATGTCAGCATTAAAAGGCAAGACCACTGTTAAGTAGCAGAATTTGAAGCACAAATGTAAACCAAATGTACATTCTTTTTGCCAATATATCATTTCATCCTGGTTGAGACAAACAATAGAGGATTTCTAGGAGAGACTTCAGTGAGTGCTGATCGACACACTAAAACATTTGGACCATATGGAGAGCTAAATGTTCCTATGTGTTCAGCCACCAAATTGCTTACCTGAAATGATATGTGATATGTTTTCTACTTATCCATTGCAGTCAAAGGAGATAAGAAATAGACAATCCAAACCTTTAATATCTGTTTTGTTACAGTTAGTCCTCACGTAACAACTCTAATTGGGACTGGTCTGCTAAGCAAAATGGTTATTAGATAAATTGTCATGTGACTGCACCACCTAGCAAAAACAGCTCCTGTAGTCGCAGTTGCAAGCTTTAGGCAAGGACAGTGCTGTCATTAGTCAAGGACTCCATGGTTCTCCTGCTCTGCCCTGCTGATCTCTTGCTTCAACTCCCTCCATGTGAGTAAGCAGTTGCCACATGTGCCTTGTCAGAGGAAGGAAGAAGACAACAAAGATCACCTGGGACAGTAAGGGTTGGCAGGGGTAGCTGGGGGCATTGAGTGCAAGTGGGGGCAAAGGGCAGAAATGGGGGACAGATAGACTGTGGGAGGACTTTAAGCACACACTGTGGTCATAAATGTGGGAAGGCTGACAAGCACCCAAATTTTGATCATGTGATCATAGGCTCTGCAATGTCCATAACTTTGACGACCAACTGCAACTACTATTCATTCAATGCCTTTGTACAAATAGTCACTGAATGAATGAGTGTTCTGTTGATAGCAGAAATAGTTCATTGCTCTCTTTCAGAAATTGGGCTAATAGATTGACGATGCTCATTTCTTGCTTTGTAAAGTGAAACAGGATATATATGTGTCTTATAATCTCCTATCGTTTCCTCAGTATATTTACTCCCTATTTTATTTATCACCACTGTATCATTTTATTTTATTTTTCCATTGCCAGTCCATCTGTATATGTTTATGTTACTTCTCCAAGGTTGAGATTAATGCAGTGTGACATGAATATCTCAGGCTGTTGTGAAAGTTTTGCTCTCAGCTCTTAGATTAATTTCTAGTTACCTTTTATGATATTTCTACATTCCATTGCATTGCTACTGTCTTGTAACTAAATAAATGTATAAGAAGCTCAGTTCAACAGGTTAGCTTAATTTTAGAGTTTGTGTTAATGCCAAACTAAGTCAGGGAATGCATTTGTAATAGAAAGTATGGTTTTACCAGTAAATTCTTGCCAGTCATAATATAGAAAGTATGGTCAGTTTGAAAAGGGTTTTCCAAACTACATTTTGGGAACCTATGAAGTCATATATCACTATTGTATAATTGGATTGTTGATTAATAACACTAATTGCAAGTCCTCATTGCTAACCCATTCCTTTTTCAAAGAATAATTTGTTCTGGATGAACTTCTATTATGAGTGGGAAAAGCCATTTTCTGCTAACAATGTTCCATTATGTATTAATTTCAAAGTCACATTGAGATGAAATTCTTATTGTTTCATCCAAAATAACACATATTACAATTTGAATTTACATTGTGGCATGCATTAAAATTATGTTACTTTGTACACAGAGAAATTTGGCATGGAATATGTTAAAGATATGTTAAGACAGTGTTTGTTAGACTGTTATTACACTAAATAGTAAACTAGGTCTAGGCTACTAGACTATTATTTCTACTCTTTTGTATTTTTTTTTCTTTGTACTTGATTTCTTCAGAGGAACTGCACTTGTTTGCCCTATGCCTATGGTATTACTAGAAAATGTCCACTGAGTTAAAAAACATGGGTTGGGGGGAAACAAAACCTTTTAGAAAGGACATAACCACAAACCAAAATATGCAATAAATCATTTAAATGCTATCTAAATTTCTAGCACATACTGTATGTAGAAAAAAAGAAGCCAGTAGTAGCAAAGAATATATACCAGCAGTATACTGATTTAGTCAGTATGGGTTACTTCTTGTAACCTTGCATAATAAAGCTCTTAATTAAACATCACACTTGAAATGTCCATTATTATGTATGTTTTTAGGGATGCATCCTAAGAAAGCAAGACATACTGTATCTGTATTTTAATTATTATACTTTTGTCAGAAATTAAAGAAACCTATCAGTATAATATTACTGGGGAGGGGTATTTTTGGTAAGCATATGCAAACATTAGTAATAACAGGAAATGAATTTACTCAGATAATATCAAATATGGTAAATAATTATCATTCTTGTATCTTTTAGGAATAGCATATTTGAATGGCATGTGTAGTGAAAAACGAAAATGTATAATTGCAGAGGACAACGGTCTGAATCTTGCATTTACTATTGCCCATGAAATGGGTCACAAGTAAGTAAATGAAATAAGCAATATCTACATTTGCAATTATATACAGTGGCTTTTAGGGGAAAAAAATTAAGCCCCGATTTGACACATTTGATATTTTTGCTTTTCGTATGCGACTGGGTTTTTTAAATAGCATGTTTTATATATTCCACATATAAATGGCAAATAAAAATATTTCACATGATAGGTGGTTTGGGAATATTGCAAATAATTAAATGATAGAAACGGAGACTCCAGGAGAAGAAAAGGCAGAGCCTAGGTGTGGAGTCAAGGGAAGACTCAGCCTAGAATTGTTATGTGTCCACAAATGCTCCAAGTCCAGTTCTCCCTTGAATTCCTTTGACTCTTATCTAGTGCCAATTTAGTGCTGACTGTTAATTGAGTAGATTCTTGTGTATAGGCTTGAGCAATAAATCTTCTTCATTGAACTTAATCATCCTGATTCTTTGTGCTTGGCAAAGACTTATTTAGAAAGCAAGGAAAATTATTCTTTTTTAAAAAGGAATGAATTTTTGGATTTCCGGAAACTGGATGGAATATTTTCTGGATATGAAATTTCACATGAAAAAGAACAGAAAAATGCTCACATCAGAAGACTGATGAGATTAAAGAATTTTTTTCCAAGGCCATAGCCTCCACCTGCTTTTACAATAGGATTCTGAATCCAAGAGAATCCTTACACTGTGGTCCTGCTGTCCACAGGGAGGAAGTATCCTGCTGAAAGCCAAAATTAATGCAATCCCCACTCAATCAGCAGGTTTCTGGATAAATAACCATAAATTTGAGTCAGGTTTCCTCCAATTTATTTCCTGTTTAGCAGGACTGACTTCCTGTTTCAGAACTTGATTGAGAGACGTGGGAATCAAAATGTGGTTAGAAAAATATGCAGGTGAAACCTCAAAGATGGGAGAATTGAGCATCTTTTCTCACCATATGGCTTCAATATTTATATAGGTGCTGTGGGACAAACAAAGGAACAGAAATGGGAATATGTATTGTTAGCTTCTCAGTTCAGATATGGAGTCTGTCAAGAGTATTGGCAGAATTATCTTATTTTTGTAACTGAAAGTAAAATTTACTTCTGAGAATTGTATTTTACAATTTAATAATAAGATTTGTTTGAAAAAAAACCCCAAAACTTAAATAAAAACAGACCTTGTAAAATATTTATTCATAACATGAGTACATTATCAGAGGTATTTTTAAAGCCTGCCATTGTTTATGCAATCATACAAAAAATGTAGCAAAAATCATTTTCAGGTGGGATTTATAAGAAACACTTACAATGGATAATTTATTTGAAACAAAACACATTTGGTAACATTTGATTTTTCAAAAAGCAATTATAAATATGAAATTTAAATCCTGCAAGTTAGCTGGTGATTTGGATATATCAACTGCAGAAATTTTCAGCTTGTTTTCAGGTTTTTTCTTAACGGCTTGTGGAACATAGAAAAAAACAACTTACTATCTCTCATTTTCAAATAAAATAAAGCTGTTAAAATGAACTTGTCTATGTCATTAAATGAAGCACAAGGAAATTTGTTATAAGGAATTGTTGTTCTTCAATTCATGTAGTCATTTCTGACTATTCATGACACAATGGACCTTATTTCACTAAGGGTCTTCCAGTAATTGCTTCTTTGAATTTTTATGAGCATATGCATGTCTCATCAATTAGACTTTTTTTCTTTTAGCTTCTTTTTATTTATTTTTTATGTATATTTTTTAATTTTTTGCAGTAACAATCTTTAGTATTTAATAAACAATACATTGTTTGGGTTTATATGTTTAACATTAATAGTAATACAATTTCCATTCCTACCCTTTATTCCGTTTTTCTAACCGTTTATAAATTTTTTTCCATGTTTGAAAGTATTCTGAATCTTGCTTCCCCTTCATTTTCAATGTGAGCCTATCCATTTCTGCACAGTCCAAAATTTTCTTAATGATGTCTTCTTCAGATGGTATTTCTTTGCAAATGTAATTCTCGCTGCTGTTAATATATGTAATATTAAGTATACACATTTCTTATCATAATTTTCTGAAATTATGCCTAAAAGAAATAATTCTGGTTTATAGTCTACATGTGCTCCTATCATCTTTTCTAGCCACCTATGTAGTTTTGACCAATAGTTCTTTGCTTTAGGGCATGTCTACCAAAGATGATAATACGTGCCTGGATTTTGTCTGCATTTCCAACAATTGCTAGACATATTTTTAAACATTTTTGCTAGTCTTGCAGGTGGTAAATGCCATCTATAGAACATTTTATATAAATTTTCTTTATAAGTAGCTGCCCTTGTTATTTTGTAGTTTCTTTCCCATAACTTTTGCCATTTTTCTAACTCTACATTGTGCCCAAAGTTTTTTATCCAAGTTATCATTGTTTCTTTAACTTGTTCATCTTCCATCTTTAAATTTAATAGAAAGCTGTACAGTTTCTTAATCAATTTGCCATCTGATGACAATAGTATCTGGTCTAATGTTGCCTGATCTTTGTAAAAACCATATATTTTTGCATCTTTCTCATATCTCATTTGCATTTGCAGATGTGGCCACCATGATAGCTCAATGCCCTGTTCTTCCAATTCTTGTTTAATTTGGAGTTTCCCATCAGTATTCAAAATATCTTTATAAGTCACAAGTTTCTCATAATTAATTAAGTTTAGGTGTACGAACGCCTCCATTGTCGAAACCCATCCTGGTATTTTCATGTAAGTTCTTGATTTTACCTTTTCCCATGTCAAAAGCAGAACATTTCTTACATAGTGGTTTTGAAAGTATTTGTGAATTTTGTTCTTCCCATACCATAGGAAAGTATGCCATCCAAGTTGTAGGTCATGCCCTTCTAGGTATAATAGTCTTTTATTTCTAAGAGTTATCCATTCCTTTAATCATGTTAGTGCAGTTGCTTGATAGTACAAGACCCAGTCTGGTAGCCCAAAGCCTCCATTTTCTTTTGTTTCTTCTACCATTTTCAGTTTGATTCTAGAGTAAAAAAATAAATGCATATCAGACATACTAGCTGGTTTAGAGGGGATGAACTGGCCTGATAAACCTAAGAAGAAGGCACTGGATCTTTTTATCAAGCTGAACAGGAGGGTATTATCAGGATGGTGATTATCAGTGATAATATAAAATTCCAGATGGTCCTAATAAGACTGATGAGTTATCCTTTAAGGTCAAGGTAAAAGACAGTATACCTAGGAATTCTTGGCCATTTAAGAGTGAAGCAAACAGAACTAACACACCCTGGAAAAGCTATTTATTTTACTTATTTGTTAAATTGATAATCTACCCATTTTACTATTGTTACAGCTGTGGGCTGCAAAGTATAAACATTTCATTGAAAGTTACTCAAAAGCTTTAGAGACCATATACCAAGAAGCTGCTGAATTTGGTTTCCATTCCTCTCCTTCTGTGACCTTCAGGCTTCTGATTAAAGCCTGCAACAATTGGTCCAATATCTTTGTATTTAGAAATACAAGAATAATTCCTATGCAAAATAATTTCTTAAAAGATTTGTGCCTGGCTTCCTATACACTTGGTTGCTTGTTGATTAATGAATAAAGCATTGGAGTCCATTTTGGATTTTTGTGGTTTTTCCCCTGCAGATCTCCAAAAGCCAGAGAAAGAGAATGTGCTGTAATGGGAGTATCTCTGAAACAAGCAGCTGCTAATTAAGGAAGTAAGTGAGAGTGTTTCTAAAGATAGGAGAGTCATTAGTCTACTCTACATATTAGTAAGAAGGGAGAGAGGAATGAGATTCCCAGCTCTGCCCACATCCTATTCTGTGAATGTTCGCAGATTAAATATGGATCTCCTGTGCTTCTAGGGAATGATATAATTTTCCAAGTCTCTCCCCAGCACTTTGAATATAATTTATTTCTGGCCATTAGTTGTCACGGCTTGTTTTGTCTTGGCAGACTGAAAGGTGGTCCGATGATCTCTTTCCAATCCAAAATTTGTATTGGAAAGGAGTCCACATACGCAAACTGTTTTCAGTGTGTTAGCCCTCCCCTCAATACAATTGAAGAGAACTTTCCTGCAGTGCACAACAAGGCATTCCCAGAAATGTACAGCTTCTTCATCCCTGTTTTGAAAGTGCAATAGGGAAAAAAAGCTAGAAGCTTCTTTGAATTAACTATATGCAAGATTCACATTTAAAAGCAATTGTAGTAATTATTTTTTTTTACTGTCACCTTTTTTCCTAATAAATCTCACTAATCAAATTGAGTTGTTTCTTGGTTTTCATTTCAGTCCTAATTGTTGCTGAAAGTTATGGACTGAAGTGTAGTATCTTCCTGGACTGATGAATTGGTTATTAATTATATTTTAATTTAGAAGAAGGAGCTTGTGATCTGAGTCACATTCAGCAACAGGTCTTGGTGTACTATAATTAGTGTAACATCTTTTTTCAAAATAAATATAAGGTCGGTAAGGTACTTCAACTCGCTGTAGAACTGCTTCAAATGTGTCAGTAGTTGAAGCCTAAATTTGGGTTTTGTTAATATTAATTGACTGACCTTGGACTCAAATTGAAATCATTCTGTCATTTTTGTGGTTGCATCTTTGTTAATGGCTGCTCCATTTCTCTGGTGATTTTTTTTCTAGTCTGCAGTAGAAGATCTGATTCTTCTCTGATGTGAAGTGACTCAGTTCAGTTCATGTCAATGTCATGATTTCCAGAATATCAATGTTTAGCCTTGACTCTTCTGCTTGTCTTGGTTCATCCTTATGATTACACCAGTACTATAATATCATTTCAACATTGAATTTTCTTTTTACCTCTTGACACACTGACAGGTAGACATCCTTTGAACATTAATACAGCTACATCATAAGCTTCAGTGCTATGGTATTTTCCCCTGCTCTTTTTACCTTCCAATATTCAGGACTTGTCTTCCACTCTTGTGAATATCCTGCTAGTGAATGTCTGATTGGTTTGCTTGGTAGAATATTCGAGTAGCTGCCATTTCCTTTCAGTGGAGCTTATTTAGTCTGATCCTTCATCTATGAATTGCCCATCATGGGTATCTTTCTAAAAATACACTTTTTCTGCTGTATGATATCATAACTTAAATGCACAAATTCCTTCACCACAAGACAACCTACATCTTTACTATAAAATAATGATCCAGGAATGGAGACAGGAAAATAAGCTTCTTATAACATTTATTTTCCAGACTGGGCAACTAAACATATTTTATTATTAATTTGTTATTTATTGTGGTTATTTATTTGTTAATATTATTTCGGAGGTTATTTATTTTGCTTGTTTTAAATTTGTTTGCTTATAGTAGGATAGTTAGCTACTCATAGTTGGCCAACAGTAGCATATAAAATAAATAAATTTACATATACCATAATTTTATTGATATATGACATCCCTTAAAATATGTTGGACTTATAATTAGCTGAATATCACCTACTGAATTTCATGACTAAATGGAGATTTGAATCTGCATCTATCTCACCTATTCCTACTTTTTAACTGCTATTCTGAGGGCTACATTTCTGTACCAAATGGATGATAGAAGACTTTTATCTCTCTGTTTTGTTGTGTTATGTTATGCTTATTTTCTTCTTATTGCAAAAGAAATGGCAATACAGTACAGGTAGTTCTCAACTTATAATAGTTTGTTTAGTGACCATTCAAAGTTACAATGGCACTGAAAATTTTCCATACTTACGACTGTTGCAGCATCCTCATGGTCTCGTGATCAGATGGCTGGCAACTGACTCATATTTATGACAGTTGCAGTATCTCAGGGTCATTTGGCCTTTTGGCAAGCAAAATCAATGGGGAAACCAGATTCACTGTTAAGTGTATTACCAACTTAACAACTGCAGTGATTCACTTAACAACTGTGGCAAGAAAGGTTGTAAAATGGGACAAAGCTCACTTAACTGTCTCATTTAGCAACAGAAATTTTGGGCTCAATTGTGGTCATAAGTTGAGGACTACCTGTAACCCAGGTTTTTTTTTCTAATGGAAATAAAACTTGTTGTAATGGCAAACAACAATTATTAACTACAAACCTAAGACTGGTTATTTGAGTTATGATATACCTCAGATACTTTTCTGAAATAAGTCAGACCACAACCAATAATGTATTAGATTGCTTAGCAAAATGTAAATGTATCTACCCAGTTAAACATGAATCTGAACCAAATGAATACATTCAAGTAATCATAGTCCTGTTAATCATGATTTGTTGAATAATCCAATTTGGCTGGATTCATTGAATACACTAAGCCACAAATTAAAGATTATAAATAAGAATAGCTAAGAATATTGCAAGCATGTTAAGGTTCTGTTTTATGTTGGAAATTTACATTCTGCTGTGTAAATCCTTAACTCTATGTTGGAAATGTGAGTACAAATTTTTGGTTGAATATTTAAGATGCTGCTTTTATATTGTTCTTCTCTTAAATTACATGGTTTTACAAACTTGTTTCAGCATGGGAATAAATCATGACAATGACCACCCATCTTGTGCAGATGGTCTCCACATCATGTCTGGAGAATGGATCAAAGGGCAAAACCTTGGGGATGTTTCATGGTCCCGCTGTAGCAGAGACGATCTAGAAAGATTTCTCAGGTAATTCATTCAAGAAGTGATGTAGTTACAATAATGCTTTTATTTTGTTCAGTTATTTTTTACTGATGATTATAAATTTCAGGTATGCCAAGCTTTCAGCACCTTATAACAGTTTCTATATCTGATTGAAAAGAACCATTTCTGAAAATTGCTTGCTATTCGTCAGAAATATTATTAGCCAGTGCTTACCGGAGGCAAAAGCCATTTTTACTAATGTATTTCTTTAGATTTCAGCATTGTTGTAGTACTCAATAAACATTAGTATTGACTTAAAAATTAAAACCCCATATCATATACATAGTGGTAGTTGTAAATATATATATATTTACAACTATATATATCTGATTTTCAGCAAAACAGAATTGTTTTTAGTTAGATGGACACTGAGTTTAATTATTTAATAACATTCAATGTTACTAAGTAAGATGAATGTCCCAGATTGTGATAGAACTCTAGTCACTAATTTGCCTCCAGTCAATAATCTTTCGAATTTATCATACTTTTGATACATACCTTTTGAGACAAAAAAAGATGTTAGAATTCTTTAGCAAGGCGATAAAAGAGAGGAGAAGAGAAGCTATGAAATGCCATGACTGGAAGGACTATACAGTGATTCCATCTGCATACCTACTTATAATAATGAACACTTTAGTTCTTCCTTCTTTCCTTCCTTCTAGAGAGGCATATATCAGGAGAAAAGCAGATTACGAAGGAAGTTGCCTTCCCAGCTCCTTATACAGTATATATACAACAGACCGAATCGAGGGTACAGCACTGGGTGTTTTCTTGTCATTAGAAAATCAAAATGGAAGTCATTCTCAGTAGTTAGAAAGTTAATATGTTTGTACTAAATATTAGTACAAAATAGTCTCTGTTATTATTCACCAATCTCTTATGCATTGCCAGGTCAAAGGCCAGTAACTGCTTGCTGCATACAAATCCCCAGAGCCTCAATTCTGTGATTATTCCTTCAAAGCTCCCTGGGATAAAATACACTGCAGATGAACAATGCCAGATTCTTTTTGGACCATCTGCCTCTTTCTGCCAAGAAATGCAGGTAGGAATAATAGATTACCATCATTTATGACTTAACAATATACCCAGGTTTAAAGTTTGTTGTTTTGCCTTTCTGTATTTTGTGGCAGAACAATAACATTGAAGAAATAATAATAGCGAAGGATTAAAGGAATAAAGAAATATAGAATAATTCTGAATGTTTCCTTTATTAACTGTCCAAAGCTTCTTCAGATTGTTTCCATTCTGATTTTTCAATATTTAAATGACAGATATCAAATCAAATCAAACCTTTATAATGGTTGTGCAGTGGTATAAAACTTCAGGTGTTATATGTTGCCAAGCTTTCATTCACAAGATAGAATAGATTTTGCATTTCTCTTACACATTCAAAGTTTATCGTCCTTGGAGAACAAGGTTGCCTTACTGAATTAGAATGCTTGCTATATTTTTCTGTTTTTAAGATAGGGTTTGGAATAAAATGGAAGAAAGTATATTAATAGCTTCAATTTTATCTTAATTACTCCAGGTCAAAAAGTAAAATGGTGGGCTATAAGCTAGATATTTCCAACTCAAATAATCAGGAATGTTGCATGAAGACTAATTTATTAGTTTGAAGGTTGTCACAGTGAAGCCTTTTCTTGCATTAAAATGAATTTTAAAATGGTAAAAATATAGATCATTTCACTTTTTATTGAAAATTGTTTTATTAATTTTTAATACATTATTTTAATTTAAACATAATTATATTAAGTAAAAATTTAAAATATTGAGAAACAGAGCTACTTGTAAAATAGCCATTTCATTTTTGCCAGCATTTTTTATTCACCAAAATAATGGATTGAACAATAATATCTATTAACAGTTACATCTAGGATAATATAATTTTGAAACTTTATTGTGCTAAAATCTATCCAAATTCTATTTTACTCTTTTATAATCTCTCATCAGTGAGTAGAAAGTTCATTTTTTTTCTTCTTTCCTACCTCCTACTGCCTTATTCTTCTTTTCACTCTCCATGGCCGGCGGTGTTCTTCCTTTCTTTCTTTGGCCAGTAGAGAGATTTAACATGTTTGTTTGCCAGGCCTACTTACCTGCACATCTGTCCATGGATACAAAAATAACACCTACCTATCAAATCATCTTCATTCCACCCATAGAATTTGAAATCTTATTATCAAAATGTAATCTTGATTTGAAGTTTTAATATACTACTATAAAGAGTCTGCAGCTCCAACCACTGTCAACAAGCTTCACCCTTTTGGGATCTTCGTGCAAACTTATGATATATGTAAGAAAGATGCGGGCTCATGTGGTGATATCAATTCTTTTCAGACAAGCCAGTTTGACACCCTCCTCAATACTATTGCTACTAATGATTTATGTATTAAAATATAAATATTAAAACTACACATATTTGTCATGATTAAAATAACCTAAGGGTTATTTTAATTTGGTTTTAAAATAATTTAAAAAATAAATAAATAAAAAATTCGAATTTTCGGTCTTAGAATAATGTTTCATTTTAATTAACATGTTAAGTTTGGCATTTTTGTATTTGTGTATTTGTTTTTGAATGGTTGTAAGCCGCCCTGAGTCCGCAGGGAGAAGGGCGGGGTAGAAATATAATTAATAATAATAATAATAATAATAATAATAATAATAATAATAATAATAATAATAATTATAAGGAAATAGTTTTAAATTTACTACATTGTATACTATTTTTCTTATCAGTTTATAATACAAATTAGAAATTAATTAATTAATTCACATTACTATTATTGAACTGAGTTAATATCGATTCTTCTCTGAAATTGAAATATGCATATTTGAATTCATTTTGTGTATTTTAGCAAACCAGTTTGGCCTAGTGGTCAAGGTGCTGGACTAGGAACTGGGAAAGCAGAGTTTCTAATCCTGCCTTAAGCTTGAAAGAGAACTGGGTGACTTTGGGGCCAGTTATTCTTTCTCAATCCTGGGATGAAGGCAGTGATCAGCCACTTCCAAAACCGCTGCCTGAATAATTGCCCGGACTTGTCTATGTAGTTGCCAGGAATCAAGTTAGACATGAAGGGATGGAAAAGGCAGCTTTACGTATAAACTATGTGAAGAATAAAATGGGATCACTGTCATTCTAGCCTTTTATTATTCTTTAAATTTAGTGTTTCTGTAATGTAATGATTTAATCTCACACGTTTATCTTTGTTTATGTATGTTCACTTTTGAAGTTATGTATTAAAAATATCCCAATCATTGGAATAAATGTTATAATTGGCTAGAACAGAGAAAGAAAAAGACATAATTATTGATGTACATAAAATGTAAATAAGATGTAAAGAATATTTAAAATGTAAAGCACTGTTCTGTTAGAAGAAAAGATTTATGTTTATGTAGTTTTTGGTGTATGGTGTATAGTGAAAAATACAAAAAAAATTAAAAAAATAAATAAAAATAAAAATATCCCAATCAGATTCTTCTCCAGGGAATGTACAGAAATTGTTTTCAGGAGACTCATTACAGTCCATTAAACTACATAAAGCTAAAACTTTACATTGGTTAATTAATTGCCTTCACAAGGCAAATTGAAGATGGAAGGAAAAATAGGACCAGAAAAGACAATCCCAATTTTATATTTATAAATATAAATAATAAATAAATACATTTATGTAATCCCAGTTTTATATTTATGTAATAAATATATTTATTTATATTTATATGTTTTTATTTTGCAGTCAGACTTGCAGTATTTTTGTTTTGAGGTCATGAAAAGAGAAGATATTCTATAGCAAAAGCAGAATTCATTTACAGCTTCTTAAAATATATTTCTTGTGAAAGTTATACATTTCTATTTGTTTATTTCTTTCCAGCATGTTATTTGCGCTGGGTTATGGTGTAAAGTTGAAGGTGAGAAAGAATGTAAAACTAAGTTGGATCCACCGATGGATGGAACAGATTGCGACATTGGAAAGGTGCCTTATAACACCATTAATTTTTAATAAGTGTATTTGTTTTTATGTGATCTTAAATCTATATTTCAATGCACCATTTTGATTTAAAAAGTGATTATTCTGAAGTGCCAACTAATTGATTTAAATATTATACCTCCATTAATATACAGGGGATATTTCCTCAGCAGTTGCTATTGTTTAATTGAAGGCACTTAGTCTTTGTAGAACATGCATACTATTGTAGTTGTAACTACAAGAAATGAATTATCCTATTTCTAGTGTTTTTTTATCTATGATTAGTTTCAAGTATTATTGCTAATTTATTATTTATTATTAAATTTCAAATAATTTAGAATAATAGTACCATACTGATTTAAAGTCAAACTGGCACTTCATTTTCAATTCCAATGAAACTTGTGGATCTATCAGTAAATAATAAAAGTTGAGACCCTTATTTTCAGAAGGGAAATACAACTGAGTAAAATAAATAAGTCATTTAATTAAGTGAAATCCATAAATATTTAAATCAATGGAAGTCTCATACAATCAACCAACAACAGGAAAAACCTTAATATAGAATGCGGCCGCGCGGGCGGTGTTGGGAGGGACTCGTCACTCCCATGTAACGCCGCTGTTGCGCGAGCTGCACTGGTTGCCAGTGGCCTTCCGGGTGCGCTTTAAGGTGTTAGTTACCACCTTTAAAGCGCTCCATGGCATAGGACCTGGCTACCTCCGAGACCGCCTTCTGCCACAGATTCCCTCCCATAGACCGGT